TGACATGCAGACTTAACCACCAAAATGGACTTCATCAAAAACAAACAAAAAAAAAACTGTGCATTAAAGCACATTAACAAGAAAGTGAAAGGACAACTTGTAGACTGGGAGAAAATATTTGGAAATCATGTATTTGATACATGTACAAGTTTTTTAGGCTGTATAAAGAACTCCTATAAATCAACAACAAAAAGACAACCCAATTTTAAAAATGGGCAAAGAACTTGAATAGATATTTCTCCAAAGATGAGATACGAATTGCACAAAAAAAAAGCTCAATATCATTAGTTATTAGGGAAATACAAATCAAAGCCACAATGAGATACCACTTCAAACCTAGTAGGATGGATATTATAAATAGTAACAAACAACAAATTTTAAAACAGAAAACCACAACTGTTGGTAAGAATGTGGAGAAACTGCAACACTCATCCACTGCTGCTGAAATTGTAAAATGGTGCAACTGCTGTGAAAATTTGTTTGGCAGTTCCTCAAAAAGTTAACCATAGAATTGCCATATGACTCACCAATTCTACTTCTAGGTATATACCCAAAATAACTGAAATCAGGGACTCAGATATTTGTACACCAATGTTCACAGCAGCATTATTCACAATAGGGGGAAAAAACTCAAGTGCCCATCAACAGATGAAAGGATAAACAAAATATGGTATATACACACAACTGAATATTGCTAATCTATAAAAGTAATGAAGTCTTAACACATGCTACAACATGGATGAACCTTGAAAACATTTTACTAAGTGAAATAAGCCAAACACAAAAAGACAATTATTATATGATTCCACTTACATGAATTATCTTGAATAGGCAAATGTAAAGAAACAGAAAGTAGATTAGAAGTTACCAGGGACAGGGGAAGGACAGAATAGGAAGTTACTGCATAATGAGTACAGGATTTCCATATATAATGATGCTTTTACAGTTGGGACAACTGAGGTACAGAAAGGTTAAGGAATTTGTTCAGCTAATAATTTGAACTCTGCCAGTCTGACTTCAGTGCTCCTGTCCCTTTAAATCCCATTTAAATAAAGTGTCTGTCTTGCAGCCACTTCATTCCTAACCCAGGACATTCCTCTAACCCTTTTTCCACAGTTCCTTCCATCCCTTCCTTCTACCTCCCACTCGTCTCTAGTTCTCAATTCATCAAAAGGTGCTCAAAAGGAAAAGTAGTAGGCAGAACAATCATTTTCCCTACAGGATTAACCCTATCAGTGTCACCTCTTCCTTCCTATCTCCCCTATTTCATATCTAACTCTAAGAGTCTTACCCACCATATTAGTTATCTTCAAATGTCTTCCTGGTTTCTAAGGTAATAAAAACACAAAGATTACCCAGAAAAGCATTGAAATTTATTTCTCCATGAAGGTGCCCTCTTGAAGCCTCCTATAGAATGACTGCCACTGTCCATGGGATTAAAATACAAAGTATGGAGAACAGGAGGGAAGGATGTCAGGGAAGGAGTTAAAAAGAGAAACGGAGGGAGAGAGTGATGGGTGTGACAAGAAGGGAATGGGAAATAGGAAGTAAAGTAAGATCTATGACCACCAGTAGTAAATATTTTATATATTACACAATTAATCATATAGTTTCTCAATAATTGTATTTGTTTTACAGACATCTAAACTGAGATTAGGAGACCTAGGGGTGCAGTGATTAAACCAACACTCGACTGCTAAACAAAAGGCTGGCATTCGAATCCACCAGCTGCTCTGTAGGAGAAAGATGTGGTAGTCTGTATCTGTAACGATTACAGCTTTGGAAACCCTATAGGGTGGTTCTACTGTGTCTTATACGGTCACTATCAGCAATGGGTTTGCTATGTTTTTTCTTGAAATTGGGATTCGTCTGTCTAGTAACTACAAAGCCAGCGTTTTTACCCCAACAACGTAGCTTTCTAAAGAAGACAAGGAGGCTACACCTTGGCTCTGGTCCTGGCTCTGTCAGTAACTAATTATTCCCCTTAAGGGAGTTGCTAATTTTCTCTAAGCCCAAATCTCCTCTTAGGACATGAAACAAGATGTTTAAAAGCAATTTAGATGCTCTCTAAAGTGCTTTTTGCTGCATAGATATCATTCAGAATTCATGAAAGAGACAGTGAAAAATAGAGATTATTTAGAACAGACTTTTACCTTCCTGCTCCTAAAACAGTATTACACCATCATATATAAAGAGGCATAACAAACTCAAAGTAAACTATTCTGACTCCACATGTCACCAAACCAGTTGAGAGGGCCAAAGCTTCATGTACCATTACTAGATGTGCTTATGTGGTCACTGGAGTCAGCTAGTCACTTATTTCAATAGAATCTCCCAGAGCTTGGAGGAACATCAAATATTCAGAACCTCAGGCACCAGGATCCTTGATTCAAAGATCAAAATTCCAAACCTCCAACTCCTCTACAATTCTGAATTTAAACTGGGCTGAAGGATAATTCTCGTTACTATTTTTATATTACATATTAGTTCTAACCATCTTAAAAAGCAAAGATCCATTTAGGGTTATATGGAACAATTTATTTTTCTAGTCAAAACTGAATTTTAGCAAATGAAAAATATTCTAATTTTAATACAAAGTAACTTATGGCACTTTTCTCCATTATTGTATAAAGTCAAGGAAAGGTTTATATATGGAAGGAAATTTTCTTTGTTGGTTACCAAGGGTAGGAGGGGACGGGAGGGAACACTCTTAGATAGGTAGAGACAAGTATTGATTTAGGTGAAGAGAAGGGCAACGTACCAAATGTGAGTACATTGGTACTCACACAGATGAATGGTACTCACAGATGAACATGGTGGCAACGAGGAAGAGGAAGACACAGAGACGTACATGGAAGGTACAGACAACAAAGATGAATCCTTTTGTACATAGAGTACTATGTTGTCAGTGAAGGCAAACATGGATATATGGGTGGTTAGATGGGTGGGCAGGGTGAACTATTAGGTATGTCTATGAGAGGAGAGAAGGAGCTCTGGTAGCACAGTGCCTAAGGCACTTGACTGCTAACCAGAAGGCTGGCAGTTCAAACCCACCAGCCACTCCTCGGGAAGAAGGTGAGGCAATCTACTTCCGTAGTGATACTGCCTCGGCAACCCAAGGAGGGGTCGCTATGAGTTGGGTCCAACTCAACGGCACATAACAACAACAACATGTGGGGAGGGAGTGTGCCCAAGACCATGTATAGGGTTGGCAGACAATGTTTCTACAAGTGTATTTGTATGTTCTATAAGAATTCCTTGGTATATAGTAGAGCTGACAAGGGACAAGATTATAGTCACTTCTTGGGCACAGCCAGCTACCCAGAGAGAGCGAATAGTTGGACCTGTGGGCTCGGAAACATAGTCGCAGGGGATGTCAAGCTCGATTGGCATAATATACTATACAAAACATTGTTCTACATCCTACTTTGGCGAGTAGCAGTCGGGCTTAAAAGCTTGCAACCAGCCATCTCGATGCAACGGTGCATCTCTCCTTGTCCAGAGCAAAAAAGAATGAAGAAAACCAAAGATTCATGGAAACAACTAGTCCAAGCGACTAGTACACCATGTGACCCTCAGTCTATACAACTATGATACCAGAAGAACTAGATGGTGCCCAGCTACCACTGTCAACCACTCAGAGGGGGATCTATGTAGGAGATCCTGGATAGAGTGGGAGAATAATATGGAACAAAACTCAAAATCATTTAAAAAAAAAAAAGAGAGAGAGACCAGGTTAGCTGGTCTGATAGAGCCTGATGGAACCACTGAGACTATGGCCCCTAGCTGCCCTTCAGGTCTGGAACTGAACCCACTCCTGTGGCTTCCAGCCAAACAAAAGACAGACATATGAGCTGAACATTTACATTAGGTAGATACACTCTTTGGAGAGAACAATCATATGAGAATAGAAGGGCTGTGTATGCACAAGGAAACAGCTCAGGGGGCAGGAGTGCATGGGAGGGAAAGACAAAGGGAAGAGGTAAGTATGGGGAGGAAATGGGAGGGGAGCTGTTGCATTGTGGTAAACTGCAGCCAATGTCATGAGACAAAGTATATGTGAGCTGCTGTTCGGAAAGTCAATGTGCTTTGTAAACTTTCATCCAAATCACAACTAAAAAAAAAAAAAAACCACATAACTTATGGCACTTTTCACCAATACATAAGCTACACAAAAAA